CCACGTCGTCCATGCCTTACGCCGCCCTTGGTCATAGAAATGATGTAATTTGAATATAAATTATTTATAAATGCTTATGTCAAGTTATATTTTTATTACTACGTAAAATATATTTAAGAGTTTACGACCACTGTGCTGGGTGAGATGTCGTTGAAAGAAAAAAAGTTATGCATTCCATCATGTGCGTAAACAGTGTCGTAATTCGCCAAGTGCAAATCAGCAAATTCGTAAGATTTTTGTTTATTTTGAACAATCCGGATAATCGAAAATCCGGATAATGGAGGTCCAAATAATGGAGGTTGTACTGTACTTCATTCTTAAACTTTACCTGATGGCAAGAAGTATATTTCCTGTTTTTGTGGCAGCACCAATAGTTTCCTGCAAAATTTTAATTTGCAGACTAGGCCAACCCCTCTTATTGCCTTTGAAACAAAAACATTTTATTGAATTGAAAGAAACATAAATTTTATAAATTAATAATAAAATGTATAGTAATAATACTAATAAATGATAATTATCAATGAATGTAGATTATAGTAAATAAATATTATATTAATATATATTATTTAACTTCAATATCACATTTAAGCTTATATATGTGGAAGAATTTTGGATTCTAAAATTCAAATCTGCATGTAAATATAAAGAAAATAATTTATTGAAAAAGAATTCAAATAAGAGAAGAAACAAAATATATTTAAAAAAACAAACAAGAACATACTAAGATATTTTGATGGCATCAACGATGCCTCAATAAACCTCAATGGTCAAACTGCTCAATTATATTCAGTTATAAATTTTTAAACAAAGAAAAACACATGTAATGTTTTGTTTTTTCTTACTTTACTTTCCATTACTTTGTTGTTTTATTATAGTTTTGTTTATTGTTTACCAATAAAACTATATACCGTATTTACTCGCATATAGAATGAGGTGTGACTTTAAAGATCAAAATAAAGAAAATTAAATTTATTAATACAATTCTAATTTTATTTTGTTTAATTACAAGTAAAATATCAAATGAACGTAAATGCGCACATTGTCCCGCAAAAATTACAGGCATTTTACACTTTAAAGAAAAATCCTGTAAAATCGACAACATAATTTGTTCACGTAAAGCTGGACAATCAAGAACCTTTTTTTTTTTTTCTTTTTTGCTAATTCTTAACAGTCAAATCAATTCTCCATCGATTATACTTACGAGTTTCTCTGAATTCTGATTTCTGAATAATTATCCATTTTCATGTGAGAATGGATTAAAACTTATATCATGCTCCCGTGTTATTTTGGAATTTCAAACTGGAATTCAATTCAAAAGCTTTGCTTTTCCTATTGCTATTCATCTTTACTCCCGACAATATACAAGAACAATTCAAACGATCCAGATAAAATACTTATGTTTTTAAATACAAAAGAGTAAAAAATGTGAATACATGGTTCACAAAAATTATTTGCAAAAACGCAAAGAATCTTTCACTTGTGCACAACCTAGGAATTTGAAGCTGTGATAAAGGAATAAAAACCTCATGTTATATGCAAGTAAATACGGTATAAATTTTATTATTTATATGATTTATTGTATCATTTTATTTATTTATAAAAAATACCATAAATTATATAAATAATAAATATATATGTAGAATTTACCAATATAACAGTAAACAAAAGTATAATGAAACAGCAAAACAGACAAACTAAGGTGACAAAATATCATCAAGTGACAGAGAAAAGGTTAAGTCTCTATTCCATCTGTTATCATGCAGAAGAAACTCGTAAATCTCAGGCTATACAACTTACATGAAGATGTTGTTCCCATGTTCAACAAGACACTCTTTTAAGGATGACCATACCAACATACTACATTAATGAAATAAAAGCCCTGAAAATTTTTAAGGCCAGTATGAAAATCAATTGCATCAATTACAAAAAGGAAAAGTCTGTTTCCAGGGCATGGCAAGCATGATATAATGCAACACTATGAAACCAACATGCATTCAATGGGTGCTCTTAATTCAGATGATGTAATCCAAACATCAAATTCCATATGACCAAATTTGAAATGTGCATTCCAAGCATTCCACTTTTGAACTCTTTGATTTCCTGAAGAAGGCATTCACTGTAGGCCAAAAATATTTGAAGACTTTTTGAAAAAATTTTGAAGACTACTTCTGTTTTGGTGAGATTTTATTGTGACATCCTATGATCATTATCCAGTTCTGAGTCTGACACACACACACACAAGCATTTATTTATAAAATTAGGATAAAGCAATCTTCATTTTAATTTATTTATTATTTAAAACTGTCAATAATCAATTTCATATTTGTTACTTCTCAATTATTAGAAAACATTAATCATATGACAGATATTTAAAAGTATAAATTAATACTTTTTAGTTTTAATTAAAATATTTTTAAAATTATAATTAAGCAGTAAAATATTCCTAACCTTTTAAAATATTTAAGTATATTTTAATAATATAATCTAAACATTTTTAAAGGCATTTTGTAAAATAATATATTTGTATTTGAATAAAAAGTTCAAATTAATTTATAACTTCGTTGATTTATCAAATCAATAAAAAAGAAAAAAAGTGAAGTTATAATTTAAGCTTTTTCCACGAATAATTAATTTTATAATTTTTTAAAACATTTTAGTTAAAAAGTTATATTTTAATAATAATATCAAATAAAAAAGATCAAGATTAAACTTACATAACTGATTATCTGCTTCATAANAAAACAAACAAGACTTTCATGACAATGTATAATCACATCATTGCTCAAGTGAGCATAATTCTGAACAATTTTGATACAAAATATTTTCTCACACTAAGCTGCAATCTTGTGCTCTCTAACTCCCAACTATTTCTGTACTTGAAGACATTTTTAGTGGGAAAATTCAACAGAAATGAATAAAAGACTAATTGACAAGGTTAGTTAAGAATCTGGCAACAGATTTCAATAAAAAAATAAAAAGCCTGTGTGATAATATGAAAAGTTTCTCAATCTTGAAAATGATTATGTTGTAAATAGGAAAATACAAGTCTAAACTTTTAATAATAAAAAAATGTCCAAAATGTTTTCTTTGTGTCTGTTTTAGTAAATTGGAACTTAATTTTTGAATGCCTTTTGTAATTGAATTAAATTACAGATATACAATTTTACCATTTGTGTGACTTGTAATTCAAATGGTAAAGGATTAAAAACTTCCAGTAAAACTTCACATATATCTTCACAAACCCATTTAAAATCTGAAAAAATACTACAAATGAATAATTTGTTGATGTTAAATTTAATTTACTTGTTACAAATCATTCATAATCTTCATATCTGTGTTCTTATCTTACCAACTTTGTTACGATCACTTGGCTTCTTTTTGTAGTTTCTTTGAATTGGAGAGCATATAAATGATGATTCTTGGTATATTTTGCATTTTGATGAAAGTTGGAATGGAAAGTAATGTGAGGAAGGCTTTTGTAATTTAAAAGACCTTTAATAAATAAAATAAAAAATGTCAGAAATCATCTAATTTTTCATCTGAAAAATCATATAAAATTTATTCATTAGATGATTTGCCATATCCTTTAAATTCTGGAATAAAATTAGTGAAATGCATAATAACTACAATGAAACAATACAAATACTCTTTTCTTACAATCACTAAAACAAACATATTCTATATTTATTCATAAAATAATTGAATGTAATTAATGTACAGTACTTCATATGTAATATTTTCATGATATACATATGCAAATAAGCATTAATGCAAATAAGTATTAATCAAGTATATTCTGAAAATGTTGATTAATATTTATTTTATAAAAGAATAAAAATAGCTAGATAGTCAAAAATGCTTATTCAGTTAATAAATGATTATTGATATTTTAAATACTAGCAAGGAAACAATGTACTGTACAGGTAGCCCTCAGTTTATGCCACAGTTCCGTTCCTACAAAAGCCAGCGCAAATCGAATCGGTATAAAATGAACCCATATTTACAATGAGTATAGGGTTAGGTTTTACATAAGTGAAAAATAAGCAAATAATTTTGTTTATTAATACAATATAATACAAAATACATATATTATAAATTTTAATTTTTAAAATGTATTTTATAATAAAATAAAGTGAAATGTTTTTATTAAAAAATCTTAAGAAAAACAAATGATATTTCAAAGTTTTGGATCTCTTACATTTTTCAGAAAAAAGTATCCATCTTTAATTCTTTAGATTTTTGTTTTCTTTCGTTAAGAATTTCAGAATATGGTCAAATGGATGCGATGATGCTCCTTTTTACATTTGCACTTCACTCCCAATTGTTGTCTTCCACCATGATACCTACTTTATTCTTGTATACGTGGGTATGTAAACATTTAATATTTTAATATTTTTATTAGAGAGGTTGAGGCGCACGTTTTAAACGTGTAAACGTGTACGTGTGACGTTCGGCGCCGCTTTCCCGTAAGCCTAAAAGTTTGACAA